TGATCTTAAAGGTCTTTTCCAACCTAAATGATTCTATGTCCTGCCTATCACAGCCAAATGTAAAATCCCAAGGTTTGTGGTTGATTATAGAATCATAGAATCATAGATTCTGCCTTATAACACCACAGGGAGACAGAAACTATTATCTCTGTTTTGTGGATGGGAGTTAAGCGGCTTTCCTAAGATCACAGAGAAAGTCTGAGCTCAGTTCAGGCCTCCTGAACCCTATTTAATGGCCTCCCTTCCCATTTACGTGCTTTTCTCTGGAGAAAAGACAAATGGTGTCAGTCTGACTTTTTCTTTCAAAGAACGTTTTTTGCTTTCAGTGTACATCTTTCACTTTGCAGTGTGTCCTGCAGCAGATCAGTATAGGCTGCATTACAATAGGCAACCAAAACCGTTCCCAAAACAGCACTATATTCCACCAAGAAAGCAACTATAAACTTTCTGGATACTAGCCCAAAGCTCATATCTGAGTCATATTTGCTCAAATTTCATGACCAGAGTTTGCTCTGACAGTGGTGAGCCTGCTCTGCTCACCTGCTGTATTACCAAACAATTAATTCCTTAGCCGGGAACCGGGCTGTTGCTTGTTTAGTACATGCAAATGAAGCAAATAGCGAGCGCTCTCTCACGTACTTCATTATGGCTCACATGCTTGCTCTCAGATCACACTTCCACCACCCGGCATCTGATGGTGTAAAATGAGAGGCATGAACAGTGTGTTAACATTTCCAATGCTACTGTGGAAATTCGTTTCTGCTTCTTGAAAAGCAATGGCATTTTTGCAGAATCATACCAGGGAATTGCTTAAGCAGGCACTGCAAAGGCCTTCAAAAATATTTACTCAGTAAAGTCAATACTGGGGTCAATGGATTTGGCAGAATGATTTCTGTGAAACCAGGCTGTTGCTGCATGCCATGCATGCCAAAATTGACATGGAAAAAGCTTCTCCCCAGTGCTATCGCTTGCTCTTAAAATATACCCTGCACAAATACAGCAAAATACAGCTGGTTTCTCTGCAGTGTTTGCTCTAATAATTTTTTTCTGTGGGGTTGTAGTCCCCTGCCTTGTTATAACCAAATAACTCATCCAAACAATGTGATAAGCTTTCCAACATCACGATAGCTTGAAAAGCTCAGTGAGGAGTAGAAGCATTCATAAAAGTCAGACTTGATGTATTTTTAAAATCAAAATTTCTTTTTTTTTTTTTAATGAGCACAGATCTTTCTGTAACTTTAGGCACCAATTTTGCTCTTTTTATTGAAAAACAGACTAATCTAAATATTTTGAAACATTCATCAAAGGAAGGGGAAAGCCTTACTTCTTCTACCCCTACAATATGTTATTTTTTTTCTTCCAGAAGGTAATTCCATGGTATTCCTCATTGCATTCACACTGTTTATATGCCTAAAATAAAGCAGATATCAACAGAGTTTAAAAAGAAAATCCATGAGCTTTCCATTTGAATTTGTCTGGTTTTTCTTAGCTGTATCTCACAAAGAAGAGTCAAGCCCTATAGACTGGTTTTCTTGGGGTTTTTTTTTTGTCTGTTTAGCATGAAATACTGCTGGTGGCATTATAAGAGCAATAGCAACTGTTTCCATGTCACCCTAGAGATCACTCTTCAAATCACCTTTCCAGCCTGGCCCAAAAGAGGGCCTTTTGCTTTCTCGTATGACACATACTTGAATGAATGTGCAGTTTAAACAGTTTAACTGCAAGGACTAATTTCTACCATCACAAGTATCTCCGTGAGTCCATATATTTTTTCTTTTTCTTTATAGTCTTGAAGAAAAATTGTTTGGAGAGAATAGAGCTATTACTTTATCTCTGGCAAATGAAGAGGCCTCATAGCTTGGTCTGAGTGGTGGGGCTGAGGGGCGTACCCTCCCTCAGCACTGAGAAGTGGCAGAACCCATCTTCTCCTTTCTGTGACCAAGTGTTGAAATACTGTGACATCCCCACCACTACCCCATAACAAGTGAGCTGGGAAAAAGCCACAGCTTTCTGTGAAGGGCTGAGCTGAGAGGAAGCGAAGAGAAAGGACCAAGCCTCTGGGGGTACCTGGGGATTTTGCTCTGAGGTGCATCCCAGCATGGCACTTGTGGCAGCTCAAAGAGGCTCTTACCTCAGCAGCTCACTCTCGCTGTCTTCAAAGTATGTGGTAATGGCTGAGGTGTCTGGCAGAGCAAATAACCAACCCCAACTTTTTCCACCTACAGACAAACCTTGGGACAGAGGTGCTTGAAGGAGTCAGCACTAGTGAATGCAAAAAATATGCACCCCATACCAGGTGGTGGCTTTCCCCTTCACTGCTCTCTTCCACCATCTCTGTGCTTCGGGGTGCCTCTCTCTGACTGCCTGGTACGTGGTCATCGCCCCTGCTGCCGCGCCGAGGGCAAGTCATGCCTCTGGATGCTTTCTGGGGGTTCTCCTGGCCAGAGGTGCAGCAGGACACATGGTAGCAAGTCCCCGCTGACTCGGGTAGGGACATTTGTACGGCTTGGATGTGAGCTGTCCCCAGTCCCCTCCCTCTGCAATGGGGCCAGATCAAGGTCATTAAGGACAAAACAGCCAGGCTGGACACTCTAGTATCATGAGAGATGGGTTTAGGGGTGTACCAGGGTGAGCACATGGGCAAGGGGAGCAGGGCAGGGAATGAGGACTCTCTCTGGTGTGATTAGGATGGGGCCAGGCAGGGCCAGCAATATCTGCCCCAGTCCCACCCCTCCAATCCTGCTTGCAGCCACGATGGCCCTGGTGTTCCCTCGGCCCCACGAGAGGCCAAGAAGCAGACTACCAGGGGACTGTGGAAGCTGCAGGACCCCGACTGAGCCCCGCTATCAACACTGTGGCAGGAGTTTGAAGCCCCGTTTTCCCCAGAAGGCAGCCAAAGGGCATCTGGTCTCTTCTAGGTACATATTCCTCCTCACCAGAGGATGTCCCCTCGCTGGCACAGCCATGGGCAGCTACGCCGTGTTGCTCCTGCTGGCTTCTATCCATGCTTAGAAACTGAACTGAGTCATCTCCTTATCTGTGAACATGCTGGGGTCCTTCAGGCAGGTTCTCCAGCTGTTTCATTACTCTGCTGGCCCATGTGAGACCACATGCAGCAAGCCAGGGCCAGACTTTCCAGGGCGATGTGTCCAGGATGGTCCACAGGACAGTGGTTCCCAAGCCAGTGTTACATCCCACTGCTGGCTCGGTGCTCGTCCTCCTCTCTGTCAGCCCAGCTCGTGCCCACAGCTGGGTCTTCACCCTCCAGATGTCCTGGCAGACACTCTGCCACCTGGGGCTGAGCAGCCAGGAGCTGGGCCCACAGGATGCCAGGCAACACCCTGGCTCTGCTCCTTCCTGCTCTTCCCCTCAGTAGGCTGGGGCCCCTCCCGGTCATTTTGTGAGGGTGGGGGGCCCCCGGCCCAAACTGGCTTGCTGTTCCGCAGCTGTCAGTCTCCACTCCAACTTTGGCCACATCCCCGTGCGTGGGTGATGCTGCAGGCATGGCAGCGCCGTGGGGACGTGGGACAGCACATTCCCTGTGTATGGCCTTGCTCCTGTGCCTCTAACGCTCCCTTCAAGGGACTCTCAGCAGCTCTGGGGTGCCCTCTCCTTCCAGGCCAGCCATCGCCCTCTCTGCCATCACGCTGCTCACCCAGAAGGCTACGTCTCTGGCCCTGGGGCTTTTGCAGCGCGCACTGCCCCTCTGCAGCTACCTGCTCTTTTTTCCAGCCCTCCTCGGAGGTCCCCTGTGCTCCTTCAGGAGGTTTCGGGCCCAGGCCGAGTCCTCGGGGGCTCTCCCTTGCCCTCCTCAGGCTGGCCTGCTGTTTGCACTGGGTGCTGGATGAGGCCCTCCTCGAGGTGGTGGGCTTTGGGCCGGAGGCGGGCCAGGGAGACCTTTCCATCTGCGACCCGTGGACACTGGAGACCACCCACCGCCTGGCTGTCTTTGCCCGAACCTGGAACAAGAGCACGTCCCACTGGTTGAGAAGACTTGTCTTCCAGCGCTGCACGGCCCAGCCACTCCTAGACAGCTTTGCCTTCTGCGCCTGGTGGCATGGCCTCCGGCCTGGGCAGGTCTTTGGTTTCCTGTGCTGGGCTGTCATGGCGGAGGCCAACTACCGCATCCATCCCTTCCTCAGCACCCAGGCCGCGTCCCGGGGCGTGAAGCTCCTCTACCGTGGCACAACCTGGGTCTTCACGCAGCTCATCGTCGCCTGCATCCTGGTGGCTCTGGAGACCGAGAGCTTCTCCATGCTCTGCCTGCTCTGGACTTCCTGCAACAGCATCCTTCCCTGCTCCTATGGCTTCGTGCTGCTGCTGCTTGCCAAGAAGCTGAAGCAAAACTGAACCTGTCCTGGGCTAACTTGTGCGGCTGGTGGGGCACATCCCTGCACACATGAGCGTGCAGGGTGAGAAGTGCTATTGGCCAAGCAATCTCCTGTAACAGCATCTCCAGAGAACCAGGCTGGCTTTTACTCCTGGGATATCCCTTTGAGGGATGCCCTGAAGCAGGGAGGTGAAGTCACCAGACCAGAGGGCAAGAGGGCTTCTAACAGCACTGCCTGCCCAGTGTTTGTCTTGGGGCTTTGGGTCTCAGCCTCATCTCACATAGCAAGCACACAACCTCCCCACCAAGCTCATCTGTGCCACAAATGCACCAGTCAGCGACTGTGACCAGCTCCTGGGATTCTGTCCTCCATGGTGATAGCAGGCACTGGCAGAGAGCTGCCTTGCCACCTTTCTTGTGCGCAGGGACCACTGGGAGCCTGGGCACAGGGAGAGGTGCCAGCAGTCTGTCTGGGGGCAGCACAAGACACGAAACACCCCTTTCCCCACCCAGCAGTACTACTGAGATACATGGGTCTGTGGTGCTTCTCCAGCAATTGCTCCTCAGCACTGTCCTTGTGGCAATGTGGATCCCAAGCTGTGTTTCCAATTAGACATCTCCTGCAACACCCACCCCCCACCAAGTGGGTGACATGCTTAGCTCCCAGAGCACAGGGTCAGCTGTGTCCCCTGCCACATGGCAAAGAGGGATGATCCATCCCCTCCATCATTCTTGGAGAGGATCCTGGGCATGGGGGCAAGAATGCCTGCTAGGAAAAGGGGGTTACTGCCCATGGTGTGATGAGGACAGCACGGGCAAGGGGGAGTAAGCCAGCAAAGTCCTTGGACTTGGCTCTGGCATTCAACTGAGGCTTAGGTGTGACCTTCCCCGCAGAGATGCACAGCAGAAACCCTAATGCACTTCGCCAGTTCACGCATTGGCCTGGGACCCAAAAGTCTAGGCCTGTTTAGGCCAGAGAACTAGCCTGAGCTACCATAGGGGAAGGTATCAGGAGCTAAGAGTTTCTGTTTATATGAGAGCAAGGAGCCACCCACCAAATCTCAAAATAACATAGCTGAAAATGCTACAAGACTATTGTTTGCCTCTGTCTGCCAGGCATGCTGCTGCAGGGTACCAGGACAAGTCTCAAGTGCCCAAACTCAGGGGAAAGCATTTTGATCAGGTTAATATCCCAAGCCACGCAGGCCCTGTGCCAATACCTGTATCAGTGTTTGTTACTAAACTGAAACTCAGCATGGAAAATGGATCCAACTTTGTTTTATGTGGGTTGTTTGGATGTTTGGCTACTTCTTGAGTCCTGCTGAGTACCCAACGCAAGCCTTGCAAGCCACTTGCCCCACATATAATCTCCCCATTGCCAGCACAGCTTGGATTTGTCATGGCCAGGCACTGTCTCCTTCGGTGCTGTCCTGCAGAGGTGCCTCCAACCTATCCCCTATATCCATGCTTAGAAACTGAACTGAGTCATCTCCTTATCTGTGAACATGCTGGGGTCCTTCAGGCAGGTTCTCCAGCTGTTTCATTACTCTGCTGGCCCATGTGAGACCACATGCAGCAAGCCAGGGCCAGACTTTCCAGGGCGATGTGTCCAGGATGGTCCACAGGACAGTGGTTCCCAAGCCAGAAGGCTCCTGACACCTACATTGGAGGGAAGTGGACCCAAGAGTCAGATGCAAGAAAGCCAGTGCATAAAAAAATCCCTGAGGGCCACAGTTGGAGCCATCCCACATTCTTTCAGCAGGCAGGGACGTGCACAGCCTCCTCCCTAAGGGGATCAGGGGAAATTCATTGCAAATGGGTGCCCAGCCAAGGAACCATCCCCTCCCATCAGCAGCAACCATAGCCAAACAGATAAAAAAAAAAAAAAAAAAAAATCCAGGTGAGAAGCCTGGAAAAGATTCACAGAAAGTGTATGAAGTGTCAAAAAACCTGGGGAATTAAAATTCCCCCAAGAGAGCAGGCTGGATCTGGAGGTGAATCAAGGCTAGAGGAAAGTGCTTGTGAATTTCTGCCTGTTTTGGGCTGGGACAGGGTAGCTCCGCTAGTGACATCCTCGCTCAGCTAAGCTGATACTGGTCTCTCTCCATGTGTCCCAAACCTACCCCTTCTCCCAGGGCTGCAGAACTGGTGCCAGGAACAGGGCAGCTCATCTCTGCCTTGTGTTGGGGTGGAAGAGTAAAAGCAGCCCACTACCTTTTGGAAAAAAACAGTTTTTCTGAGCAGCAGCGCAGCCCTTCTACCAAGCTGAGTGGCTGCTATATGTCTGGATGGAAGGAAAGGGGATGGAGGGAGCCAGGCCAGCTTCTCCCTCTTCCATCATGCTGCTCTTACATCCGTCATGCTGCTCTTGCATCCATCACATCTGTTGGAGGAGCATGTTCGCAGTGCACCCAGCCCTATGCATTTCTAATTCAAACACCAGCAGCAATAAGACCCTCCCAGACCCCAGGCCAGTGGCCCTGGCCTTTCACATGCCAGCTCACCTCTCCGTAAAGGGGTTCAATAAATGCTAGACACAAGGGACAGCTGAATTACCAGGTGAAGGGAGGGAGGTGGAGGGATGGGGAAAGCAAAGCAACCTGGCCCTGACTTCCCCCCCAGGGCCTTGGAGGTGAATTGGGGATTTTCCATTTCATTAACTTTACAAGGGGTAATTCCCAGCATGCAGCATCATCCTCATGAACAGACCCATCCTGGGCTCTCTCACCCTTTCACAATCAACAGCCTGCGTGGCTGTACCACTAGACAGAAAAGCCATGCTGTATTAGTATCTAACGAAGGTAACAGGCAGCTGGGACTGAATTGCCCACAGTGGAAAATACAACTGAAACACAGAAACAAGCAGTAATTTTTGTTTTCAAAAAGTGAGAAGCAAAATGGATGCCAAAACCCACAAAAGATGTGAGTTTGAAAGCCCTTCCTGGTTCTCCCTTGCAAAGGAGCATTATGTGAATTGCTCTTGCTCCCCAGGAGAAGCCGCCAACCATTCACCCCTGCTGCCCACTCTGGAGAGCAGCGGTGTTCCTAGGTAAAAAGGTCCTGATGCTTTAGGCGGGGCAGGGATCAAAGGACTGTCCCACAGGCGCAGAAATCAACTCGAGTACATTGAGTTCATTAGAAACATGCACACACGCAGGCAAGAGTTTATTAGTCCACAGACTTACCATACAAAAAAAAAAAAAAAATCCCCCAAAACAGGGGCAGGTCCCCAGCTCTGCCTGCTCACAAATTAACAGTGCTGAGGGTACTAAACATGTCTTGTGCACTCTGATCAGAGTGCAGAGCAGGAGCTGAACGTGCATTCGCAACTGAGATTCGAGCCTCTTGCTTATAAAGGGGCTGCGTACCCTTAGCCGCAAGGCCACCGGGGGCCCTCAGCTGCCTCCAAGCCACAGCCAAGGTCAGAGCAGCTGCAGCAGTTTTAATGTGTGTGAGAGGGAGGCAGGCTCAGCAGATGCTAAGTACTGGCAGCACAGCCAGTCCTCTAGTTCAATGCTCCGCTCCGTGTCCACAGCCCTCTCTGCGAACTTCATCATGAGCAGGGCACGCTTCATGTCCACCCAGTTCTGAAGCACCTGGCGGAGGGCTTCCTCGTGGCTGAGGGGCTGCTCAGTGAGGTCTTTCCGGGGCCCCCAAAGCAGACACTGCAGCATGCGCTTGGCTTCGGTGATCCGCACACGCTTGATGGGATCCGCTTCCAGTAGCAGGTGGGCCAGCTGCTGGAGCCCCCGGGAGTAGATGGACAGGCTGGGCAGAGCAGGGAGGTCCTCAGGGCTGTACTCCTGCTCCCTGAGGTGCACCTTCTCCTCGAAGGGGTTGGGCTGGTGCAGCAGCTCGTAGATGAGAATACCAGTCTGAAACTCATCAAACTTCTTGTACTGAGAAGCCGACACAATCTCCGGGGCCAGCCGGGCCTGACTCTTCTTCAGTTTGGAGTCTCCAGTTCCTGGCTTCTGTTTGGCTTTCAAAAAATTGCTGATGATGAGGCGGGGTAAGTGTTTGTCATCTTTGGCTTTCACACAGCTCATGGGGGGCTTGCAGGGGACAAGCAGGAGGTTCTCCAGGCACAGGTCACGGTGGATGATGCCATGCTCTTTGAGATGCTCCAGGCCATTGCAGAGCTGGAGGAGCAAGAAGCAAACGCGACGTTCGTACAGCTCGGGCTTGGCTTGGTGCAACATCACCGAGTCCCTCACGAAGTCGGCAGTGGTCTGGCTCGGCACCTCCCGGGTAATGACCACCACACAGTCGTGCTCGCTGGCAGTGCGGGAGGGATGGAGGCCATCCCCAGGCATGCCTTTCCCCACATCTGAGGCCAGCAGCATGCTGGAGGGCACAGAGGCCACAAAATGCCCACAGTCCTGCTGGATGTTGAAGTGGACTGGCACTGCAGGGCTGCTGTACGAAGCAGCCACCTTGGACTCCTGGGTTTTACAAATCTGTGAGGAGAGACCAAAAGAAAAGTCTCAGCAGTCAGTGACAGAGACAGGGCAGAGACCACAAGTCCATAGGTGGGTTCCTAAGCTGAGATTTGCAGATGCTAAGGGAGACATGAGTAGAAGCAGGGTGCACATTGGTCCCTCTAGTACTTTAAACTATCTCCTGGCTTGAGGATCTTTCTTGTCCTGCAACACCCCAACCTTAGCAACCCGATGTCTGGGTTGCATTTCTGGGCATGCTTCCTTTGCCAGGCAATGCCCAGTATTTGCAGGAAAGGAGGAAGGTAGTCCTCCCATGAGTAACTTCTGGAGATTTTGTTTCATTGCCCACAGAAGCGACGTAGCTTTTACGTCACGGACGTCATCGAGATTCCCCCCTGCAGCCCAGGAGACATACTGCAGAGGGAAAAGCAAAGCCTGTGGCAGAATATGTGCCATCTCCATCTCTGGAGATGGTTAACACTTGCCTGGATGAGGCCCCACGCGACATGACGTGGCTGTGAGGGTGGCCCTGTTTGGAGTGAGGGGTAGGCAGACAGCTCCAGCACTTTCTTCCCACCTAACCCTTCTCTGGTCCTAGGCCCTGGAGCCACTTTCACACCCTCCTCAACCACTCCACTTTCTTGTGTCAGCAACTACTCTTGAACCCCTGATCAATGGCTAAGGGAAACCAGCAACAGGCTGAACTCATCAGCACAGGGCAAAAAAACACCAGAGGGAAAGTGGGAGCTAACAACAGGCTTAGAAATAAGTGAGAGTGCAGCAAACTCGAGGGAAAAGGGCATTTTATAATCTGGATTCTCTTAAACCCGCATGACTTTTATCTGCATTTTGTTCTGTATTTTAGCTTTATGACTACATTAAAGACTAAACAAACTCAAACCCAGGTTTATTATAGGAGTATCCATTAGCTTATGGGGCCTTCTGGCATTTCTATTATACTCTTTTATTTAGCGATGTATTTATATCTCACCCACAGAAGTCAGCAACAGGCTGAAACTCAGCATAAAAGGTTTCAAACCCTGGAGCATGCCACTGCCAGTCACAGCATGCGTGCAAAATCGGACAAGAAATCAATTTTGCCTCTGAGTTAAAATAAATGCAAGAATAGAGAGGAGCTGGAGAAGTGGGCTGCTTTTGTATTCCTCTAGCCAGGGTCTGAATCTAGGCATTTGCAGGTGATTCACTCAGATGAGACAATAATGTGGAGACAGGGCATTTCAAATTCCTATTGTCCTCTGTTTTCTAAACAAAAACACCCTGCCATGGCTGCACACTTATTTTGTGGAAAGACAAGCTTTGGAGAGCTAGGCAGACTGCAGATTAACACAGCGGGAGGCAGGAAGACACAGAAGGTCCCCAAAGGTGGAGGAGGCCTTCCAGCCCTCTGCTGAACAAGCTTGCTTATTCCTCCCCACATAGGGAAGACATGTAAGGCTTAGAAAAAGGGGAGGAACTCCTGCAAGAGAGGAGTCTCTGGAAGAATAACTGCAACCAAACGAAGACAGGGAGATCTTCCCCGGCCAGCCATTCTTCATGACTTTGGCTGCACCAGAGGCATCCTCCATGCAGCAAGCTCCAAGTAGGAGCCTGGGGCTGGCTTGGTCACTCATCTTTAAGCAGAGGAAGAAGCCAAGGCATGGAGCGTATCTTGGCTTAATTCCTCTAAAGCCATTTCATGTAACCCTGGCTCCTTCTAACTGTTTTATACGTAGCCGTGTCTGCCTGTGCACAGACGAAACTCTGGCTCCTGCTCCTCAGCAGGCTCCTTGGCTCAAGTCAGATGCTCTGCCCATTTTGAGCTCTCCAAGTCTAATTTTAACTACAGGTCTGTGATCTCTTTCATGTCAGAAAACCTGTACCAGAAGCCATGAGGGGCAGCTAGGAATCAGCCAGTTGTAAAGTTTCACAACTATTCTCTTGCTTTGGCTACCAAAGGGAAGGTGGCACACAGGAACATCGCAGGAGGTGTACGCATGCGCATGTGTAAACACATTCAGAACTTTATGCTGGTGGAGAGTACAGCCCTGCTGGAGTGTTTTTGGCTTTGATAAGGTGCTCTGCAGCGTACCAAGGGCACAGAGTAAGCCCACATCACACGCAGGGACACAAGTGCAGTCCCGTTAAGAGACTGAAATGTGCTGTTCCTGCCTTGGCAAGAATTCATGCACTACAGCCATAGAGCTGAACCTCACCTAACACAGCAGGCAAGAACAAAGGTGTGTGCGTGCCACAGGGAACCACAGGCTGAAAAGGAGCACGCCAGTTCAACACGCAGTTCTCAGGTTTCAGGAGGAAAGTTGCGATGGATTTAGGAATAACACACAAGAGAAGCTGCAGCCCTGAATGCTGGACTAGGGGTATTGGTGCAAGACCTCATCTAACTCCATTCTGGTTATTTACAGCCCTCCCTGTTAGGTTGACCATAGTTCCTTTAGAATATGAACTGGCTTTAAAGCTATCACTTAACTAAAACATCCCCTTGGGGTTCATAATGGTAGAAACGATTCAGCAGAGTTTTGTTTTGTTTTTTTCTCTTTGCTTAATGCATCTCTGGCAGTGCCTTTTTGGGAATTACTTTAGGTTTTGAAAACAACCTGAAGAGTAAGCAGCAATGAGATGCCCCTAGGGTTAAGTCAGAACAGAAATTAAAAGCTCTGCATTCAAGTAGTAACATGGGTCAAGAACCCAAAAATCCATGGGATGCCCATGGAACGGGTTGGATAAGCTTACTTATCCAGGTTTCAAAGAGCTGAACTATTGCACCTCAAGTTTCCATTTCAAACATCAATTCTGTAGAGTTACAGGAAAATATTTCAGAGCTGACCTTAGACAGCATGGCTAGGTCAGCTCGCATTGTTTAATCGAGATCTGCAATATCTTTAACAACACCTGTAGTTCCAAGATCATATAAAGACTCACATAGTTTTTGGGTCAGACCTTCCACTTGAAAGGCAGGCAGAGGCAAAAATGCTGTCTTTTGAACAGTCTTTCATCAGCTTGTGTCATCAGAGGCGAATACCACTGAGTTAACAACACAGTATTTGCACAAAGACTTTTTAGAGAGAAACTGGTTGGGTTGCAGACCCTACTAGTCTGCGGCAATAAGCATCTGACTGGCATTTATTACAAAGCAAACTACTTCTCCAAATTAATCTTTGCAAGGGATAGGGGAAAAGTGGCAATTTGGGAAGGGGTTTTGCTTGCCAAACTTCACCTGTGAGAAAGACAAGCAGAGAAAACAGGCCATTGTGTACTGACAGTGCTTCTCAAAGGCGTACCACTAAGTCTGCTCCCCACTCTTTCATTCAAACCCATACACCAGAAAGGGGGAAAAAGAAGCTCGAAGGTTCAGCCCCAGCTCTGCTACGGATCCCGACGCAGCCTTGGACCCTGTAGCTCTTTGCCTCATCCTCCCAACTGGGAGATGGGGATAAGCCTGGATACCTCCTGAGTGCAGGCTTACCTTCACAGCATAGGTGGTAGAAGGGTCCTTGGAGCAGGTGGCACAGTAATATATCGCATCCCCTGAATCACAGCAGGGCTTGTTACATGCCAGCTTGAAGAGCGACCAGTTGTTCTCGCTGAAGTGCAGCTCATTCTTCTGCTCCCGCATGAAGCAGTCCTCACACTTGGCAACCAGGCGGCGCAAGGACTCGGCGTAGAGGGCCCCCAGCTTGGCGTACACCCCCTCCTTGCTGTCAATGTTGCTCAGGAGGTTGTGGAGCTGGAGGCTGGAGCCCGATGACACCTGGCTGGACACACTGAGCTGCGAGGAGGAAAGGGACTGGAGGTTTCTGCTGGGGACGCAAGCCCCTGTGCTCTTACCAGTGGCTGAGCCCCAATAGCCGTTTCCTTTGGAGCCTTTCTCCAGGGACTCAGAGGAGGAGAAGGTGCCGGGGTGGCCCCCCAGACCGGCCGGGTGGACGAAGGGAGGCTCCTCTTGGAGGCAGACATTGGTCTCGGAGTGGCTGATGTTCAGCCTGGGGCTGGCAGCACTGGCTGCTCTGCCTGAAGATGCCTGTGCCCCAAAAAAGCCATCTGGGGAGGACACCGTTCTGCTCACTGTCTTCTTCTGGGGCAGAGGGGGCGGGCAGCTGGGGACAGAGGAGGGACTATCCTCACCGGAGGCGGGAAGGAAAGAGACAGGAGGAAATGCTTGGCTCTCAGCTGGAGGGGGCGAGTAGTTTGGCTCAGATGAATGCCCTAGGAGACAGCGACACACAAGAAGATGCAATGAGTGGCCCTTGTGGGCTGTGAGCACGGGTCCCTCTCCATGTCCCTGCCACCCCCACAGGCTACCTCTCCTGGGGCCCTGGCTGTGAACAAAGAAGCAAGGCAGGTTACATCTGAACCCAGTGCACAATCCTCATCTATTCACAACAGCAAAGCTTCACTGAAGGGGTTAGGTATTTAATCCAGTTTGATACAGCAGGTTTGCAAAGCAGGCTGCAACCAGCCATCTAGAGAAATGCCCCCCCCTCCAAAACCACTCCCCTGTGCACTGCATACACAGTAGTAAGAAGCTAGTAGAGGGTAAATATTTAAGCTGTGATGTCATCCGCAAGGAGGTAGGAATGAAGCACTTGGGGATATGAGGACAATCTCTTAAACAAAGCCTGTTTCACCTGGGAGCTGCCACCCAGTGCTTCAGTGGCACAGCGAGAGTGTGACTCACGCTACACAGCTCCAGCCCTCCAGCTTAAGCATGACCAGAGCAGCCCAAGAAGTATATTGAACCTCACACTGGATAGGGGTCCCTGGGCAAGGCCAGGGATTTTGGCAATTTCAGTCCTCCCGAAAAAAACTGGCCTCCCCGCCGCTGCCTGTCCCCCAGCTTATTGCCAGATCTCTTTGCTCAGAGGGCAGCCTGGCCTGCCAGTGAGGGTTCAGCTGCCAGCAGGCGCTTCCTCAGAGTGGCTTTCTGCTTGCCCCACAGGAACGCCCTGGGGCAGTTTCATGTCAGCATGCAGCAGGGTCACAACCCCAGTGACTCACCAGCTCTCAAGCACAACCTCCAAGGGCAGGAGCTCAGATCCCCCAGCTCCCAGCCTGTCCTGGTGTGTCACGTGCAGGCTCAAAGCCACACCAGCTGTGCCAGAACGGCAATCCCTCTTAGCTGCTCACCACCTGAGACCGCACGAGGTGAGAACAGGCCCCCTAGTTCTCAGCTACCAGAGTGGATGCTGGCACGATCTGTCCCTGTCCCTCCCCACCAGCGTTTGGTACCATGACATCAATTTTCATTTGTCCCCTCCACTGCCAAAGCTGCCCGTATGTTCCTGCTGTAATACACCCCATCCCAAGCAACAGCGTTGAGACACACCCCAGGAATGAGCAGCACTGATTTCACCTTCTGCAGAAGATGAGCTTCCCATGCAAGGCAGTTTTGGCACCCCATTTCTGACAACATGCTCAGAAACAGATCTGTAGGAAATGTTGTGAATCAGCACAGGCCTCTCTTGCCCCAATTCCTGGGTGCCAAGCTATCTGACTCCTGTTGGGCCCTTGCCCCAGGTGTCTGCCTGCATTGTACACCCAGCGGCTGAGCAATTGACTGCTCTCCAGTTTCAGCTGCTCTCCAGCTGCACAGTTACCTGTGGAGCCCATGGCTCAACAGAGGTGCATGCCCCAAGCTTTAACAAAAACCCAGACATCTGCATCATAACTTGCCTGGTCCATGGGAAAGATCCCCTCCATTAAAACACTGTCAAAAGCCACAGGCAGGGATGGTTCAGCATGGTATCTCTTGCCACTTCCAGTCCAAGGGGCTTTGACAGAGGATACCGGCAAGAGAAAGTCTTTGGCATACAGCCCAAGAGCAACTCAATGGAGGCACCTCTGCCAGGACATGCAACTGAATTCCCATTTTGAGAGGCAAGATTTACTTGACAGAGTCTTACGGAACAAATGTCAGCGCTGGAAGCTTTGGCAACCGGTCCACATGCCTAGCCCACAAATGCCAAACTGCTCTTACCTTTTTTTTTTTACACGCTGCTGGGCTCTGCCCCAAGCACAGAGTAACAAATTAAACCCTTTCACAACTTTCCTAACAGTGCTTTGCACCTTCAGCGTAGAGTTCTTCTGCATGTCAAGGGCGTAAAAGCTCCCGCCCTTCATATTTTAATATCTGACAGCATAGCCAATTAATTTGAGCTCACCTCACTCAGTGATTCACTGCATAGTTTCTTGCTTGCATCAGCAAGAAAAATTGCATTCAGGTTATTCATTTAAAAACTCAGCTTTCCTTGCGAGTTGAAACAGTTGCTTCTGTTAGTGGAGGCAGAGAAATCCTCTTATCCTGTATCGTTTTTGACAGCAAATTGCTTCTGTGCCTAGCACGTAAAGATCCAACATATCTGAGTTTTTCTTCACCCTGTACAATTTCCTGGCATGGTCTCACTCTCAGTCTCCAAGTTAGCGGTGGAAATACAGAGTTTCCAGAGCTCTGGCTCTTCATTTTATTGCTGTACATCGTTGCTCTTGGAAAGACAGAACTTCCACTACACGAAGGTTGCTTTTGCAAAGGAAATACTTTCTGAGCTGCTGAACACGTTAGTGCATGTCTAAGTTACGTACTGATGAAAAAAGTGACTTCATAGTAAGTATTTTTTAATCTCAGTTAAACGAGTGCCTGCAGATTTTTTTCCCCTTCAAGAAATAACTGGGAACACAATGAGAGGGAGAGATTACCTCTAGCCCAAGACTCCTTCTGGTACTCCTCATATCTATGGAGGACTTTCTATGGCAGGGCTACTTGTGACCTTGTGCAACGTATGAAGCACAAGCAGGATAAGGACAATTGCTTTCAGATGGTGGTTTTATCCAGACAAGAGGAGAGCCACAGGATGAATGATTTTGGCACTTGCCGAATGAAAGAAGAAAAAGCCCATGATGTTGGCCTGAGTGCCACATTCATCTTAAGTGCATCAAGAGCCAAAAGGGTAGAAGAAGTGGAAAGACGAAGGGTTGCTGGGGGAACTAGGTGATGGGACCCTCATGATCCCTGCTCTGAAGATGCTGCCCCAGCAGTAGGCCTCAGGATGGAGGTAACTCCTTCCTCAGGTCTGATGCTACCTCTCCCACACCCAATGGTCACTTACTGCCATCACTGCCAGTCTGCGTGTCTGAGTTGAGGCTGTCAGTGGAGCCGGCCGTGAAGCTGACGTGGATGCTCCTGAAAGGTGGGCTGAGGCTCTCAGCAGAGCTGTTGCTGACCCTCTCCAACTCAGTGTTATTTGGGTTCATTTTCAGAGTGTGCCTAGAGAGAGTGAAAGAGAAGAGTCAGGAGACAGATGGCAAGATACCCTGCATGCACTTGTGCATGGAGACTCAAGCCGAGAGCAGCTTTATCTTGGTCCCTGCACATCCATACAGACACTGTGCAGCCTTTTACCACGCCATAGTACCTCATTCCTCTGCACTCTTCTTCTTTCTCCAGCACCTGGGGGTCGCATCCCACTTACACTGACCAGGTTATAGCCTTGCAGCCCCCATGCCATCCCCCCATGCCAAACCAGCTGTGCTTGAGCAGAGAGAGAGGCACCGAGTTAACAACATCCAGCCCCAGCCTGTGCGTCCTTTGCCTAGCACATGTTGGGCCCTGGACCACATCCCATCTTGGCCACCATCACTGGGAAGTGGGGACCCACCAGCGTTTGCCTTCAGTAAAGTTCTCAAGGGAAGGGAGTGGCATCACTGCTCCCATTTTACAGAAAGACAGGTTGATGCTGGGTGTCAGAACCCAACTCCTTCATGGCGGAGGCATAAGTGGAAGAAGAGTCCATCCCTAGCAGCTGTTGTCTCCTCAGTGCATTACAGTAACAACTGACACCTTCCGAAAGAAGAAGCGCCTCTGCAGAAAACAAATGTCTGCCAAACTCAGGACCTACCATGCAGCTTTTAATGTAAGACCTACAGTCTTCCACGCAGCTTCCATCTAAATAAATAAATAAATAAACCATAAACTGGGCTTATAACCTGCCAGGTCACAGTTTAAGTGATCAGTTGTAGGCAAGCAGGACTTTTTGCTAAGATAAAGAATTTCCCCTGCATTTTCTTCATTCTTTCGTCCTTGGAAAACAACAGAAACTGTTGAAATCAGGCAGCATAACCGAGCACAAACACTCCTAGCTTTGGTACAGTTCAGACTCAGCCAGCAAACGAAGGTTATTGGTCCACATTTTTCAAGTAAAACTGCCAATCTGCTGATAAAATTCAACACATTGTTGATCAAGAATGAGAAAAGGTTAGTGGCAGACTTGTAAAAAAGAAAAAGGATTTCCACCAGCTATCTTGCTGGAAGGTATCTGGCATTTCCTAATCAGACGGCTGAATGGCTGCTGAGAAAGACAAACAAAAGAAGCGCACGACCGTTTTCTTGTGGCACCCTGTTCACGCGCACAGGATCCCTCCTCTTCCAAAACCCCCAAGCACAGCAGATGCCACAAGCGATTTTTATTTGAAGATTGAGAAATGTTTCATTCCCCATCCAGACAAAGCACTTACTCTCGTGTCCACACCACCACATGGAGAGCAGAGTGTATGAGAAGCCCGGAAGAAATTTCTGCCAGACTTCCTCATTTGCCTGAGCAGCCTCAGTCTAAAAATACTCAGGGGCTGATGAAAATAAGGCTCTAAAAACGACCTCAGGTATAACTCAGCAGAGACACCGGTCTTGCACCAGTGATGAATTTACCATGGCTAGCTTCTTGGGGATGATTTACAAAACTTTGCAATGCACCACAGTTGAAAAATTAAAAAGAGAGAGCGAGAGTGTGAGAGACACATTGAGGTTTTTAGCTCCATTACAATTAATGCTGTTGAAAGCAACCAACTGGACGTAAATCCTTTTTCCTTTTTTTTTTTTTTAAAGTATAAAGATATATCTTCATCCTATAACTTTCTCAGACGTTTAACTTCTAGTAATTTAAGGGAAAAAAACGCATGGATGCACACCCACGCGGGTGCACTGTCTGACCTGGCAAGAATCAAGGAAGCATTTGAATCAATAAGAAAAGAAGATTTTGCCAGAGCACCGGTCTCGATTTGCACAGATGAGAGGTTTTCTAATACATACCCCTCCCCCCGCCCCCAAGAAAAGTTGGTGCATTTCTGTTTCCTTCCCATCACTGAAACACAAATTCGCAGAGCTGCCTTACCATTCCCGCACTCAGAGAGAGATGGGACTTTGCTCAGCGGGGTCCAAGGTCCACCGCGTGCAGCCACACCTATTCCTCCAAGCAACCTGGGCGCAACGCGGCGTCTGCCAGGACCGTGCTGGCTGTTGTGTCTGCCGAGCTCAACCTTGCGGTGAAGTCAGATGTACAGAGAGCCCCATTTCCTCTCCGTACCGCTGTGACTTATGTAAAATGCAGTTCCTGAATAGGCACACTGAAATAGAAATTGTTTGCTGCTTAAACGACATCCTGCTCTTGTTTCAGATGTCACAGCCGGGCCAGCTATTACCGCCTGGAAATATCTCCACCTTACATCTCCCTCTTTTCCTTACGAGCTGCTTGAAGCCCAGCCTGCAGCCTACACAGATTAAAATACCACCCACTATACCAAAGCATTACTGACAACACTTGCTAGGGTCAAACTCTCCCATTTCAGTAAAATTCCACCCCAAGAGAGAACCTATGGGGTCCTAATTTACAGCTAACCTGAATTTCCCCTGCTCTGGTAGTGTTCCTTTCCACCACGCATGACTGCAAGGGCACAGGTAGCTTTTCTCCATCTCACCCTTTTCACCAAAGGATATTGGAAATAAAGAGCATCAACCTTTCTTAAACCGGAAGAAATCATCGTGATTGCCCCCCCCCCAGCTTACTAACATCTGTGGGGTCCACTCGCCTTCAGAAAGATGTAGCAGTGGTTAATTTACCTCCATTTCAAATACCCATGCTCAACACCTTAAATGTAACCAGCAACTTCAAAAGCAGCACCAGAGCCTCCTTCAAGTGCCAGTGCATAAAGAACAGGTCACAAGAGTCAGCTGTCCCAATCTAATAACCTAAAAAGACAGGATTTCCAGCTCTCCAAATTACTCTAGTGGCTTTAAATACACTTCAATTACTCAACATCCTCCATGCAATGCGCTGCCATATTCAGGCAACCCTTCCCGTTCACTATTCTCCGGTTTTAACCATCCTAAACAACTTCACCCCGCTGGCTTTCTGCACCATTCCCACAGTCCTGCCTAAAACAAGTCAAGGTTGAAAACAGCAGTCTTGTAAAAAAAAACAACCAAACAAAACACACACCTCCCCACCCCCCAGTTTGGAGTTCTATAACATTGCAAAGGGACCTGGATCATTTGCCATGCCCCACATTGCATCTCTGGCTGGGGCATGCTTTGACTTTGTGATTTGTATTCGAGCAGCAGCAGCCACATCTTTAATTTCACATTTCTTAACAGAAAGGGACTCCAGCATTGCCGGCTGTGTGCCTTGCACTTCTCAGAGAGTGGAGACGGGTACCAAAGCATGGCTCCCTTAACCCCAGCAGACACACCTGCCTTGGGATATCACCCCAGGGATCCCTCGGGCTCCGGGGATGCCTTTGGCTTGAATTTCCTGCCTGAGATTTGACACACAGATCTGGTTACCTTCCAAAAGTGCAAGAGGCAGGCAGGTTTTGAGAGCGGGAGAAGGCTGCTCAGACACAAGAGCTGCAAGGCTCCCGCTTGCTCCTTTCCAGCAGCTTGCTGGCAGTGGTGGAGGATGCTGGAAGGCATCTCTCCCCCGCGTAGACCCGATCGCAAGGAGTGCCCGCTCTGCAGCCCCATCACAGGGGTTTCTCAGCCTTGCTGTGCTGGCAGGAGGGGGTTGCTCCTTCTCAGCACGGATGACAGGACTTGAACAGGTAACAGAGATGCTGAGCTTTATAAATCATGCAACAGGGGAAGGAAGCAGAGGAGAGCAGAGGACGCACACAAACCACCCAAACCCAAACCGCACTCCAGGAGAAGTCTGGTGAAAATGTCAACAGGACAGCCCCCCCTAAAATAAAATACTGGAATTAATGCATGGCAGAGAGAAAAGCCAGACTGTGTTACAGCATCAAACACAACACATGGCTGAGCATAAATATTACACAAGAGGAAGCACCATTGTACCATATGCTTGTCTATCATGAAATGTGAATAATTACATCTTCCTCCCTCCACTGCTGTTTCTTCCAGCATCTTTACCTGGATGCACAGGGCAGTTAAAACCAACCATACAGGAGCTTACAACATTTGAGACTTGGATCTGTACTTGTCCTTCTGCTACCAGCTGGCAAATGTGGAGAAACCAAAATTGAGGTGAGGGAAAAGAGAGGATTTAGAAATACTCCTAGCTCTGTCCAGAGGACTACACCTCTCCTCCCTGTACCAAAAGGGTACCAAAGGGTACCAAATTTATGTAGCACAGGTTAAGTTGAAACAAGGTTTTGGAGTCTGGAGATGCAAGGAGGAATTCAGATAGGGTGCAGATGTGGTACAGAGGACATACTCCAATGTGGTGAAGAGGACAACAAATCTCATTTCAGTTTCCAGCTGTGCGCTTTTTTAAGTGGCAAGATAGGAAAAACACAGCAAAGTGAAGGAATTTCATTTTAAAAGAAACAATCTCTCCTAAAAGATTGGCTGATAAATCACAACCTTTTAAAAATGATCCACTGGCAGAGGCAGCATGAGAAATTCCTGATTACTTTCAGACAGAAAACAGAGGGAGGATCCAAAAGGTGCATTCCCTCCCTGTCCTGGAGCGTTACTCTCTCTCCTGCTTGAGCCATACCCTCCCTTCTTTGCTTTATTTACTTATTTAATTATTATGTATTTAAATAGACTCCATCCAGATTTTTTTAAAATTTATTTATTTAGTTAATAATAATAATACAAAAAAATCTGACTTGTCCTAGACCAAACACAGCAAGCCTCTGCTATCATCCACAGTCACGGAGAAGAGGATCAAAATTTGGGACCCGCATGACATCCAATTGCATTTGTAATTGCCACAGCAGCTCCATGTAGCCAGCCTGCTTTTGTTACTGGGGTACACCCTGATGCTGAGGTCCAAAGGGTGCCTTGAGAATGGTAAGAAAAGGGGAATATTATGTCTCAGGTGCAGTGCTGCTCCATCACAGACTGATTCCTGGCAAGAAACACACAGCACAGTCCCACCAGCCAGCACCACCTCCCCAGCGAGGAACAAACCTGGCTCTTTTCCTGGTGATCCAATTCCCAACATCGTTGGGTTTTGTAATGCTCTTGTTTTCTGTTCCCTCTGGCAACAAGCGGCAGCAGCAGCACTGTAACACACAATCTTGGCACACCTCAAGCTCATTCGTCCGGGCTGTTTTCAGCAATGGTGGGTGTAAGGATGTGCCATGGTACGCACCTTTGTTACCCCAAGCGAATGCATTCAGCAAATTTCAGAAGCTGTCTATGGTGCTGCCTTTTGAAGGTGGTATTAATTATGATGAAAACAGCTCAAGAGACAACAGCTCAAGACACAAACCAGCATCACTGTTTCCTTTCTTTAAGAGGCACACGAAATAAATTAACCACCACGGTTTTGCAGGCTAGAAGGAACCGTTAGGATCTTTTAGCCTGACCCTCTGCATAAGAGAGACATAAATTTCAGCAAAGATTCATCCCTCCTGCCAAGAAACTGAACGCAACGCTAGAGCATTTCACACTGAAGAACCTTTAAGTCGTCATTGCGCGTACAAGTCCAGGGGATCCTGGTTCCCCTGGTGAGCCCTTTCCGTAGCCAACTACCTTCCCAGCTTTTGGAAGACGACCAGCCACCATCTTCCCTTTCCAAACTCTTTCCTCTTGTAATTCAACTCATTTTCCTTCTGTTTCAGACCAAGCATACCTTAAATATCTATAATCTTTCAAACAAGCAGGAAAAAAGGATTGTGTGAAGAAACAGTCACAAGAGGTCCAAAGTAGCTTTATATAGGATGAAACAGGCACAAATTCATTATTTTCCTTTTTTGCGCCAACTGTTAAAACTCCCTAAAAATCACTCCTTCCGCCATCCTAAGAGACAGCTTACTGCAAAACCAGAGTTTCCTCAGTACCTGGCAGGAATTTACCCTGTAAAAAATGTTTTCCCTTTTAACTGTTAGAGCCAAGATGAACAAAACAAAATCTACAGACTCTTTTCTTCCTCTGCTTTGAAACTAGTTCGAACACACATGCAAGTTTTCTTTACAATAAGCAATTAAGTTTAATTAGGAAAGTCAAACAGGCAGGCTTAATTTTTCCAGCATGAAATCAAGTATCCTGCTACAGCTTGAGATCTAGAAGGAAAAAGGATGGTTACACACTTTTCCTGCAGCTGAAATGAACCCTGATTTGCTAAGCCCCAACCCCCAAGACTGTGCCACAACCAGGTCTTAGCTGGCTTCATCTACATCCATCCATCAAAGGAGCCTTTGCAGCTGTGCCACCAGAGAATGTCTTGGGCTGATGAGTTCTGTCTCTGTGAGGGACTACATAAGCGTAACAGAAGTATCGGTGGTGGTTCTTCTATTACAGACAAACACGTGCCCACAGACTGCCCAGGCCTAGGAGAGTATGGATGTATCTCAGAGTCATCTTTGTGTCCAAGACCTCCTCCCTTCTCCAGGTGTATGGCTGCAGCCCAGGAAGACCAGAGGAGATGTTCCTCTAGCACCAGGTAAGAGTCATGTCATGACCTGAAGCTTCAAGCAATGACTGCCCAGGGTAACATAATCCTGCTATGGTGATTTTAACCAGTTGTGCACGTAGCCATCCCTCCCACCGCCACGTGCAGGTAACAACACCCTGGTTCCTGCATCGACACGCTCAAAGAAGCCACGCTTGAGACGAAAATGAGAGCACCATCAAAGCAAACAAAGCAACCAGCTGGGTTTGCATGGCTTGCGAAACCTGCCATCTGATCCAATTGCTCTTCAGGCCAGCTGCGCAGGGGTTTGGTAGCCAGAGGGAGGGCTATGCTCTTTGAGTGAGGCACCCCAAGGCACTGCTGCAGGCATCAAGGCGTTTAGGAGACAAATACATATAGCACAACACATTGCCTACAGCCACAGGGGGTAAAAGCAATGCCAGTACTTACCTCAACCACCTGGCAGGGTTTATGGCTCTGTCACAGATCCTGGTCACGGATGCCACGTGTTCCCTGACCTCAGTTTCCCTGCCCTCTTTCACACAGGCTTTCTAGCACATAGATGCTTTCAGGGTGACTCAGAGAAGCAACTGCTAGAGCTGGCACACCCCAATCACACCAGGAGCATGAAACAGCCCCTCCAAGGAGCAGAAAATGCTCCACGCCCCTCAGGATGGATCGTAACTCCACCTGGAGGGCAACAGCAGGGCATGCTCCTGGCTTGGAGCACAGCTGGTCCAAGTCACCCAGCCAGAGAGACACCCTGACACATCAAGGAGCCCCCTGCCTCCACTCCCAGCCCTCATGAAGGCAGAAAGGAGACTCCGAGCACTGCCAGGGAAGCATCCTTGCCCCCAGTACAGACAAAGGGCTCTGCATGGCTGCTCCTCCATGAGCAGAAGAAGGTCCTAGCACTGCAAGTGGAAGATGCTGTTGGGTTATATATTGCTGAGTGTGAGTGCCACCACCCTCATGGCCTGCCCAGTCACCTCTGCTCTGCATGGGAAGGAATAAGGTCCTAGAGGATTTTCAGCAGGCAGCTTGGCATTTCCTAAATGATGACTGCTTGACAGCATCGTATCATCACAGCTCTGCTGGGCCTCAGCAGCCCAACACCTCACGTGGCAAGTACGACCCCAAGGCTGACAGGAGACACCAAGTGGCAGCAGCCATGAAAGAAAGCTGACAGGGTCAAAGCTAAAGCACACCTTAGTGTTCTTTTTCATTTTAAAGGCAATAAAGCTTATCTGTCTGCTCACTTGCTTGGGGACCTTTTCTTTCCTCTGACTCCAGCAAGCATGCAGCATCACAGCAGGAAACCCAGCATTAAGGAGAACTAAAACCTCTTGTTCATCTTTTCCCTTTCCTTGAGAAATCTAATTTTTCACCACTTGGTCAATTTAAAACACTAGTTCCCTGGGCTAGCCAACCCTAAAAACATTGAAAATACAGTGTGAGAACAAAACAGAGGATGGGCCAACTCAACCACAGTCTCAACCTGGAGGTCACCAATGCCTATGCATAAGCTTGACCATGCACCCTCAAAAGCAAGTTCTCCTCTGAACGCCCATCCCTTCTTCTCTCAACTTTTAAATCAAGGAGCTGGAGTCAAATCTGTTGTGCAATGCACAGTGCCAGGTAACAAAACTGACACACGCAATGAACAGGACACTTGCAGAATGTGGAAGTATCCCTCCCCGCTATGATCAGACAACCTGATCCATTAGTTGCATTGAAAGGAAATAAACTTTTCTTCCTTCATTTTCTCTCCTCCCCGCCCCTTTTTCTTTTTTTGGTGATACACACGGCTGCAGATACCGAATCCACACAAAGTATCGGAAGCCTGGTTTTTTTAATTGCTTAGCAGAGCTACTTCCTTCCCAGACGGACAGTTCTCCCTCATTCGCATGTTTTGGAGGGCTTGCTGTCACCCTGCCTGCAAACCTGACTTCCAGGACTCCTTGCCTGCAAGCAGGTAATTGGAGCTTGCCTAATGTGCGCTCGTGATGTGTAGGAGCCGCCTGATTTCAGAGGCCCTTGCTATTAGCACCAAGAAAAGTTGCCCAGTTCCACCTGCAAGAGGAGCTCGCAATCCCAGATTTCCTGTCCTCTGCAATGTGAAGGAACTGTGCCGAGACAGAATGAAGCTGACCTGGGAGACACCAGCCATCCCGGCCATGGACCTTGTTCTCACTCAAATATTGGGACCCAAGGCTGTATCTTGCAGCCCTGAAGGGCTTTTGCAAGCACGCACAGCATTCGAACCAGGACTTGCAAAGATCTGACACCTTTTCAGCGTAAAAAAGTAAGTAGTTTTTCACCCATGCTCCTGAAACGCCTACCTTTGAACAGAAGAGGAAGAAAAAAAAAAGAACGGGAAGCACCTCCTAGTCAATCAATCCCTGCAGCAAACATCCCAATTGCAAATAGTTAACAGACCGCCATGCACACACTCACAGGGCTGTACCTGGACTGCTTTTTCGGCGGTGGTGGCGGCGGTGCAAACTCCACGCCATTGCTCTTGTCTTTAGGGAAATCAAAGGAGAAAGACAATGATTTGCTGATCCCAGTCTGGCTCTCCAGCATCGGGCCTTCATCCACAAGGTCAGCACCAGCTCGTCCATTCTCAGCTCCCACTGCCCATGGGTGGGTTAAGAGCTCCTGCTCCTCCTCCTGCTCCTGCTCCTCCTCCTCCTCTATCCGGCACTGCTTGGTCCATGTTGGGGTGTAGTATTTCTGCCTCCTGTCATAGGATGAGCTGGCCAGGACTCTGCTGGACTCCTCCACAGAGACCCCGTTGACATGACTGCATGGAGAAGGGGACGCCCCAAAGGTGCCTGTATCAGTATAGCTCCTCGGCAGCAGCTGAACACCAGCTCCGTCGTGGCTGTTGTCATCACCAAACCTTGCCACATGGGAGCTTACTGGGGGCACACGGTTCCCCTCACTGCCCGGCTGGCTGTTTTTGGACATCTTTGGGGGAATGGCTGGACTCTCAGCAACTGAGGTCTTGGCAGGAGCTGTCAGATGAAATCTTGGGCTGTTTTCACTTCCAGATGCTTGAAAAATCTCTCCAGGCTCAATGGCAGGTGATGAAGTCCCAAAATCGGGGTGGGAAGCGGGGCTGATGCATGGCCACTGAACCCCCACCGCC